TTTTTCCCCCCCCCCCCCCCCCCCCCCCCCACTCGACATCCGGTGGAACAGCAGGGCGTTGGGTGCATGCACACAAGTTCAATGAGTGACTTTTTACGTCCAACAGGAATGATGCCAACTTTTTTCCAAAAAGCCACTCCCATATTATATTATATATATTACATCTGCAGCGGTGCAGATGGAACACAAAGAGGGATGACAATGACAATGATAATAATAATAATAATAATAATATTATTATTATTATTATTATTATTAATAATAAAAGTATGAAGGAACATCATAATTCCCAACATACATTTGGCAAACAACACAAACGCAAGAATCAACATCCATCCGCCAAAATAAAAAAAAAAAAAAGCAGTGAATTAAGGACAGGCAACAAAAAAGTATTAAAAAAACTAGGAGAACCAAAAAAACAAAAAAACAAAAACAAAAAAAACAACAAAAAACAAAAAACTACTCAACAAACGGAAAGCAAAAAAAAAAAAAATAATAATATCGCCCACTGACCTCCCCACTCCCCCACTGAAGAGACACACATAACCCCCCCCCCCCGACAGATTTTTTCCTCTGCAATGCATCACACTGCATTCAATATAAATATCCTGCCACTCAATCAATCAATCATCGTCACCACGCTTTGTTTCCTTTCAACTTTTCAACCCCCCCCACCCCCTTTTTTTTTTTTTTTTACTATTTCGCAACAAAAAGCCATATAAACATACAAAACAAATTTTCTCATAGGGCAGAACAATATATAATGAATAACCCCCCAAATTTCCAATTCCGCCCTCTCTTTTTTCTTTTTCCCTCTTCTTTAAGCATGCAAATAGGGTTCCTCCCGTGCCAATTGATTTAAGGCCGCAATATCTTCCGGTGTAGATCGACAACACGCGCCGCAAACAATAATTTCAAACAACCAATCCGTTGCCTCGGGACGTTGCTGCAGCAACTGCAGTAAAAACTTCATGAATGTTATCAAATTCCCACCTCCTCGTGCTAATATTCGCTTTAGGTCCCGCATGGACAACTTTTTTGCCGCTGATGTCTGTATCTGCTGAGGTGGCTTCTTCCACTGTCCATCCGTGAACTTTTCGCCCGAGTTTGGGTAAAGCAGGAGCACCAATGGCCCTTCCGTGCCTTGACGCTTCTTGTGAAGCAGAGCAGTTGCCACAAGACTCACCTCCAGTGGACCACTGCAGTTACACCCCATGCCCACCAGCGCCGTCCCACAATTCCCCCGCAACTCAGAAAGCGCTCCCTCAAATGTGTTGCCGTCTGGAAGTCGAATGGATGATGCGGCGGCGTTCCACCAGTTGTCCAGGGCGTCATCATCCGCGTTCTCGGGAAGGGGATTTTTTACAGGCGCCGCGATAAAACTAAAACAAAAAGGCGCAGTGCGCAGAATTTCGTGTTGATTTACAAAAGAAAGGATACCAAGCGCTTCATCCAGACGTGGAAAAGTTTCCAGCAAGAAGAAGTCTACCTTGAACGCATGCTTCTCACCCACATTGCACAGAAACGCTTCTAACCGGCGGGCATGAAACGAATTAATGACGGCTTCATGTATGGAGTATTCGCCAAGGTATTCCTGTCCCCCTGGCAAGAAGGAACCATACGGCCCCAGACTCCCTGCCAACAAAACAACTCGTTCCTGTCCATTGTCTTTGATGGAAGAGAGTGCATAACGAAACACATCAATACCGCCAGTCCTTCTTTCTTTTGCCGTGCTCTCCTCGGTTAATCCTTTTTGTTTTTGTTTTGGCATGGTGTGACGTGCTGCCTGGACTGCACGGTCCACCAGCTCACACATGGTCACTTTTGACGCCGCACATCCCTCTTCATGCATTTGGTAGGTGCAGGTCAAGAGCACGTCGCATCCAGCATCAATGTATGCCCGATGGGCACGTTTAACCAAATCCATTTCTGAAAGAAGAACGGAGGAAGACCACATTGATCCTGCCTTGGCGTAGTCGACATCCCATGACTCCAGAAGTGTACCCATCGCCCCGTCCTTTATGAGAACCCCATTAACCCGCCGAGTACTCATCCCTGTCGTAAAAGTAACGAATGCCCTCGCTTTCCTTTTTGTCCTTCTCTCAGTCTCCTTTCAATCTTTTTTTTTTTTTTTTTCTTTTCGTTTTCTCGCGTTGTGCTCGTTGTTTATCTGCCGGCAGACATAATACTGAAATTTACGGAAGATATCCCCCCCCCCGCCTCCCTCCACCCCACTTTAGACGGAGGGGAAAAACGGGCCGAAAGAACAAAATAAATGAACCATAAGAAAAGCAACAACAACACACAACAACAATCAAATGTTGCGCATGCACCCTCCCCCCACCCCACCCGCCAAAAACAACAACAACAACAAAAACACATTATCTTCATAAGATGCCATGCCCACCACCGCCTCTTTTTGCCTCCAGGCATTTCTCTTTTATTTTTCATCTTCCCAATTTCCCATCCACATGTTGTTATCATTAACACTCATATCGTTATTATTATTATTATTATTCCCCCCCACTCCTTTCATATAACACGCCAATGAAAAAAAAAAAAAAAAAAGGCAACGACAGACCAGTTCTTTGCAGTTATCCCGTTTCGAATCTTCACTTCCCCTCCCCAGCTTCAACATCATCTTCCAACAACTCCGCCAAGCAAACACACACACAAAAAAAAAAAAAAAAAAAGAAGAAAACAACAGCCTTAGCCCTAGGAATTTATACACATGTCTATTCCACACGCATATATATGTGTATGTACGGCCCCGCTTCTCGCCCTTCCCGTCCATGAGAGCAACCAAGCGAAGAACACGCATTTATTTATGCCAACGTAGTGATCAACATGATTGCTTTTTTATTTTTCTTCTTTTCTTCTTAGATCCCAAAAGCAACGGATGAGACGCCTTCCCTCTTCATTAATTTTTTTTTTTTTTTTTTAACTTTAAAAATCAAATCTTTCCGCACTTCCCCTTCGTAACGACACGAGTTTGTCTCGGCAGTGCCACGTGGAAAATGGAAAGATAAATATATAGATGTAATGGAGATCTATTTTCCTTCGTTCGTACCAGCGACTGAATGAATGTAGCGTTCCCATCTCCCTTCATCTGTCAACATCCAACACCGCTGCGCCAAAGGAAGTCAGGGAGAATAAACAATCAAACGCACACACACACACACACACACACACACACGCAGACACGCAGAAGCCCTCAACAGTATTCATATAACGACTCTGTCTCGTTACATTTTACGTTCCGGCTCCATTTCCCACATCGTCATCCCCCCCTTTTTTTGTTAATATATATTTTTTTACGTTTCCTCTTTGTCTGTTCCTTTTTTTTTTTCTGGTTTTTCATGCTAATACCTTGGAGGGTAGTCGTTGTGTTCCCCTCCATTTCTGTTTTCTCATTCTCTTACGTGTGTGTGTTTCCTTTTCATACCTCTGCTCTTCGGACGCCTGCCTCAAAGCACCTCTCCGTACATGTGTCCTCACAATTTGGACTACAACGTCTTGACACGGCGTGCGGCGCACGATTCCGGCCATTTGTACGCCTTCTTCGAGGCCGCAGCCATGAATGCGAGGTACGGCGGCGACGGGTCCATGGGCGACGACACAAACTCTGGGTGGAACTGAACAGCGAGGAAGAAGCGGAGGGACGGAATCTCAATCGCCTCCACACGCGTGTGCGGACCAAACGTCGGGTCCGACACACCGCTGATCAAAACTCCGGCCCCACGCAATTGGCCAAGATATGTTGTGTTCACCTCATATCTGTGACGATGGCGCTCCACGACGAAGTCAGCACCGGAGTATATTGTGGACATGATGGAGTTCTTTTCTACAAGATGCACATTGCGGGCACCCAAGTGCATGTTCGCCCCCATACTATGGCGATCACAGTCCATGATGCGCACAATCTGATGTGTGCTGGAAGGGTCAAACTCCTCACTGTTGGCGTCCTTCCACCCAAGCTCTTCACGGCACACTTGAATGAGGGCGACCTGCATGCCCAAACAGACACCGAAGTAGGGAATGTTGTGGTGCCGCGCCAATGCCACCGCAGCACACTTGCCATCCACACCACGTTTACCAAAGCCACCAGGAACAAAGATGCCGTCACACTCGAGAATTGCCTGCTTGGCCTCCTCCGCGTTGGGGCCCTCCAACATTTCTGATTCCACATAGAGAATATCAAGCCGCACATGGAGGGCAATCTGACAATGTTCCAAGCACTGAAGAACAGAAAAATACGCATCTCCACCCCCTGTAACGTATTTTCCCACAAACGCAATGCGTACAAGAGGGTTTGACATGTCTCGAAGAATCCTGGTGTACTCCACATATGTTCCATAGCTGGGCACATCCATTACTGGGACCTTTGGGCGCAACTGAAGCTTGTGCAGTAACCGTTCCACCAAGCCATCATTTGTGAATTCTACGGGGATTTCATAGAGACAATCCACATTCGGAGCTCCAATAATATCGGACATTTTTACACCACACTGATTACTGAGCTTCTCCTTCACTTCCCTTGAAAGGCGTTCCTCACTCCGGCATATCAAGAAGTCCGGCTGAAGGCCAAGGGAGAGGAGCGTACGTGAACTGTGCTGCGTCGGTTTCGTCTTTTGCGCCCCGCCAAAGACAGGAAGGTACGTTGTGTGCATCAGACAAAAGTCTTGCGGTGGAATGGAGTAACGAAGACGGCGCAACGCCTCAACAAAAGGTTGTGACTCCATGTCTCCTACCGTACCGCCCAGCTCAATCATACAGATTTCCGGCCCTTTGTTGCTTTCGCACACCGTCTTCTGGCAAATTCGAAAGATCTCATCCACCACCTCATTTGTAAAGTGCGGCACTAACTGCACCGTCTTCCCCAAAAATCCACCGGCACGCTCCTTCTCAATGAGCTTCTGAAACACTTTACCGGTCG